TTACGCAAGGTATTTGAAATATGAAGCGAAAAGGGTGTTAAAAAAACCTTTGAAATGTTCGAAGAGGGTTGCCATATATTTGTAAAATTAAAAAAAATTATTTAAGAAGTTGGATGAATTATTTAAACATGGGTCTCATCGAAATTATTTTGAAAAGGCTTTATTTCTGAAATATATGTAGGAGGGTTGCCACCTGTTTAAAAAATCCAACTCTACTTATATTAGGGAAATGTTTCCTTACCTTTTGTAATTAGAGCAAGAAATTGTGAACTTATTAGACGTTTTTTGACCCAAGTTGACAGTTTTATCGTTACTTGTCACTTCCATTACTTTTTAGAAAAAGATTTTAAAAAATTGTTATGTACATTTCTATCAGTTTAAATATGAAAATAGACAGTGTTGTAAATTTTAACTAACTTAATTTGGAAGAGCCGCTCTTGAACCTTATCGAAAATATCTAAACATTACTTACCCAGCTATTTTATAACTAAATTTTTGCGCCGTTATTTTTGAATATATGTAGCTTTTATTTTTAATATGTATTAAGATTTTGTGATAAAATAAATAGACAATCATGACAAAGGCAAATATCCTGGTAAGGGCAAAAAATTACAACATCAAATGTTTATGTATGTACGCATACATATTTGGAATTAGAGAAAGCTAAATCGTGATAATTTTTAATTGGAGCTACCTTATCTCGTAGCAGAAAAAAGGCAACTTCTGAAAAATCCGTTCCCAGCTAATTAGTAAATGTTACTTTAAGCCTCTAAATTTTCCCTTCCCTTGCCCGATTTTTTATTATATAGCTATAACGACAACCGTCCTAAATATGAATGATACACATAATTTAACATTTATTACAGTCACAAGGTGCATGACATTAAAAGAATGCCACTAAATACTAAATGTAATCATTACATTGTAATGTAAAAAAAACACAAAACACACAACCAGAAAAAAATTTAATTTTGAAAGGGTTCTTCGATCTAATGCGATAAGGTCGCCAGCACAACGGCCATTGGTCGAGAAAGGCCCTAAAAATTCCGCTACGTCGTTCTTAAAACGCGCAGCCATTTTCATGCGTAAATTTTATCAAAAATCAATTCCATTCCAAATAGTACTCTTGAAACCTGAATCCAAGAAATTAATGAAATATTCATGAAGTCGATTCTTTGCTGACATCAAATACATAACCACTTTTGAGATACCTGCCATTGTTAAATCGAAAATTTCCGGTTAAGAAACTAATTTTACTTATACTGTTTGGATATGCATAAATTAGAGTAAGTAAAGAATGTCGTGTCAACATGCGGGTTGGAATATTCGCACATAAATATAGTGGAAGCATGAACCAAATGCTATTACTTTATAAAGACTGACTTAGTTTCATGCATATACTTACATATTATGTATATATGTATGTGTGCAATTTTGTTGCATGTGCAATGTACATACATACATATTATTTATTGCCATTTTTAACGTGTTATATTTTAGTTTCTTTTGTTTTTCTTTTTTCGGAAATCAAAATCAGCAAAATGTATTGTCTTTTCGCGACTTGTAATTACAAGTGCTTTCACACTCTGGTGATTTCGTCACTTGATTCGGACAACTTAATTGTTCAACGATGTTAGTCATGACTGATTTTGTTGTTAATCACGTAATTAGCTAGCCGCATTAAAATCTAAATAAACATCACAATGTTAACACATGTAATGGGTAAATGGGATCTAATTGATGTAAGGCAATACTTATAAAGCAGAGTACAAGAACAGAGATTGCGGCTGATGTTTTGTTATTATTTTGTTTTGTAAGTAAAAACAATCAATTTTAATTATGTGTATATTGATCCGGTTAAACTCGACCAAAGGCCATCTTCTCAGCAAATCTCACACTCCCGACTATTGGGACGTAATTTTACAACGATAAAACGTACGTATGTACATTTGTGTGTATGTTTGTATGTATTTGCATTTATTATCTATTTATTTATATGATTTAAATATGCCCACATTTATGCATGCATGTACATTAGGGTGGTCCAAAAATAGTTACGTCTGAATTGTAATGCTCACGCCTCCTAGGATTGCTCTATATCGAAAAAACTATAGCCCAATTTTTTTTTTTTTTTTTTTTTGAAATCAAAAAATATTTAGAGGTCGCTCAAAGTTTTCCATGTATTTTGATTTTGTATTTGTATGTATGTATTTTGGGGGAAAACAACTTTTCGTAGAAATGGTATAGAATTCTTGAAAATCAATATTTTTGGATCAGAAAACTCTGGTTGTCTTCAGGAAACTTTCAATAATAATACCCAATTGTTTATTTAATCCCTTTTTAATACTTAAGATTTTTTATGGGTCCGCCCATTGCATTTTTCTGGGTTTTTATGGGTTTTTAGCGGACCTATAAATTATAGTTGCGATGAAAAAATGGTTAAATAAATAATTGTGAAATTGGCAGCTATAAAATATGTTCTTTCCCGTACACAACGCGGGTGCCCAAAACAGCAGGGAAATCATTCCCGTACTCAACAAAAAGGGTAATAGAGAGCAAAAATTTGAACGTATTGGATCGTAAGTGTCTTCTTCTTCCTGCTCGAAATAGCCTGGACTTTTTCTCCGGGTAAAAATGGATAAAGTGTCAAAGTGCATATCAAATGTTTTGTGTTTACATGTCGCCTGCATTTACTTGGTAAGTAACTAGAAAAGATTAAACATGTATTAGACAAAGATTCGAGACATGAGACACTTAACAATAGCAAGCGTTTTTTTTTTTTGAATTTTGAGTTGTGCCGTTATTGCAGAGGACCATCGATATACGTATGTATGTTTGCATGCATTTCCAAATTTCAACATTACTCGTATTGCTTAGCAGCGAAAAGTTAATGACCATTTAATAAATTTACCTTTAAACAAGCTTGTTAATATTCAAATTACTAAAGATTGTTTTTCAGTTACTGGTTTTAGGCTTGATTTTATTGACATTGGGGGATCTAAATTAGGAGTCATGAATATTTATAAATTGCCAAGTTACTTAGACCTACTAACCTAAAAAAAATGCAATTTTGTTCCACAAAAATATTCACTTAATAGGTATCAACACTTTTAATTTATACAGTTGGCATTCAACTCACATATGTACATATGTACATATATGGGTAAAGGGGCAGGAATATACGGGCCTAAACTATCTATTACGGGTCCTAATCTGCACTAGTATCTTTCAAACGGAGGTTCTTCCATCAGTATTTGTGCGGAAGTAATTTTGCGGTCAGTCAAGAAGACAGCACGTAGTCGTCTGCAGTGACAGTCAGGCTGCTCGAAAAGCCGCATCGTCGTCTGAGTTTAAATCACGGGTAGTATGAGAATATTGAACATCCTGGGGAAACACCACAAACGTCATCTGATGTGGGTCCCGGACCATAAAGGCATAGAGGGCAACGAAGAGGCTAACAGACTAGCCGGAGAACCGGAGAAGCAGCCGCCACTAGACCTATAGAACCAAAACCCTTCCTTGCGGCCAGGGGCGGCGAAGCGCCCTGTGCCCGGGTGTGTAGTTCTGCTGTTGGCAAGAGTATATAGGAAAAGGAAATAAATTGCCGATGTAATTGAGAAGGTCGTCGGCCGCTGTGGTGTAGTGGTAAGCAGTGCGCGCTTCCACTCCGCACTACCTGGGTTCAAACACTCGCCAAAGCAACATCGCAAAAAATACAGAAAAAAGGTTTTTTTCTTAACAGCGGTCGTCCCTCGGCAGGCAGGAGGTAAACCTCCGAGTGTAATTCTGCCATGAAAACCAGCTTCTCATAAAAATGCAATTGCCGTTCGGAATCGGCGTAAAACTGTAGGTCCCTCTGCTTTGTGTGACAACATCAAGGCGCACGCCACAACTCGGAGGAGAAGCTCGGCCAAACACTAACATATGTCTAAGCGCCAATCTATTATTATTATTATTAATTGAGAAGGTTAACAGATTCCGTTTGCAAAACTTATTGTTTCGTGGATAATACATTTATTTTTCATACATGCCATGCACAATTCACCTGAAATGCAAAAAGACGTAACAAACATCGTCGCTGAAATGCAAAAAGACGTAACCAATAAAAAATTATTCAAAATTCACTTTTTGATAGATATGTCCATCATATTTCATCGAATATAACTCTCACATCCTTTTATAAAAAAAAAATATTAGTCACGACTTTTTACATTTTAGTTACGAGTTTGTTACTTCTTTTTGCATTTCAGGTGACGATATTTCTGTGGTCATAAGCAATAATCGCCTAAGTCGAAAAATCTGAATTCGAGGAAAAAAGCTTTAAAGAATGTGATTGTAATGTTAACCTTATGAGGAAATCAAAATATTTTCGCCTATACCTTTTTAAATATCCTAGCTGGCGGGATGGGGATTTCACGTACGCATGGAGTGGGGTTGAAGAATACGATAGCATATATAACTCCATTCTTTCTTAAGTTGACTTAGGCGGTTATTGCTTATGACTACATTATGAATACATTATTGAACATTACGACCCTGGAAATGTAACAAGTAATCTAATGAAGCACAACATCTTTCACAGATCCGGGATTTTGCTCTGTGCGCCTCATTATGCACAGAGATACATATATCTTTATCGCTATTGAGTCTGCATTCGTCAATATCACCATTATAAAACGTAACACTTTCTTCAAATCTACTGTCTCACCAAGAATGAACCTTTCTAAAGTTTTATAAAACTTTGCCGATTCAGTATCAAATTTACTTGTCTGGGAGCAAATAACTTGGTCAAAAATTTCATAACATATCTTTCGAAAATACCCTTTCAAAGGGACTCGAGTACGGATTAACTACTAAAATTATACTTGTTTCAATGTGGGAAAACTAGCAAAAAACGTTCAGACCCTATTTTCACATTTTTAATATCTTGAGTAATGACGAAAATAGGCACAAGATTCAAGGATTTTAACATCGTCATATAAATCTCTGTATGAACTTACCTCATGAGCTTTGGGGTGCAAATGCTGGCAATTATGACCTGAGGTTACAAGCGGCAGGAACAGCACGCCAATAAGATAATACAGCTTGCACAGAAATTTTGGTGTCATTGATAAAAGTTTTTTCTTAGGCAGAATTTCATGTTTGTAGCACTCTCCCTGGGTGTGTTTGTGCCACATTTCTCTCAATTTGATCTTTTATTTATTTCTTGTAAAAATTACATTTATCACCTTGGTTGTTTCTTGGTAGACTATAAGGTGATTAACGTAATATAAAGATAGCCTTAAAGTCCCGATAAAAAGAATGAAGATTTATTATTAAGTATGACTTTATTGCAGGAGTTGCAAATCGATTTGTTTAACGGACTAAAAGAAGTTTTTGCCGAAATATATCTACGCTGTTTTTACATTCACTTTAAAACACAGCACAACTTGCAAATTTTAGACAAAAAACACTGTAATTTCGTAATTTGCGTGTCACTTAAAAATACAAAATTAAAGCAAAAGCATATCAGATGCTAAAAAATGGGTGCGACCAAACCAATGGCGGTGCTTTAACCATCAACGTATCATGGATGCAGTTACAGCTGTCGTCACACCAATTATGTACTTTTTTTTCTTTGCCTTGTAACTGGAGCTCTTTTTACAAGGAGCTATAAATCTGTAAACAATTTACTTGAAATACGAATACAAAAAAAATTTAAAACTACTTTGCCCTTATAGAGCGCATTATGCATTTTTCTTTACCGCATTCACTGCATTTTTGATTTTTTTTTTTCTGTAAAAACGCCTCCGTCAATTTTGTAGCACCGGTTATATTTTCACTTTTGCATAACTATAAATTAAAATTAAGCTCACTAACTCGAAATTAAAGCCCAACAAAAATTAATATAAACGAACATCACATTGCTGTGCACAAAAACATAAACTAAACAACATTTTAACATGGACCTTAGAAAACGAATGAACAGCCAAGATGAAAAACTGCAAACGCAGCTGCGCAAATTTGACATACTTTTATGGCCGAGTTGCCAAGTTTTATATTGAAGAAAACATTTTTCATAACGTTACAAGATTAACTTCGGACTGGCATACAAGTTTTGTAAATACAAAAATAGGCGTGTCGAGTGGGTTTGTTTATTATTCAGTATTATCTTATAAAATCTATGCATCATTGTCTAATAATATACATACATACATGCATGATATATTTACACGTACTATAATTCAGATAAGGCAATAGTTAATGGCATTGGATGTGCAAAGTTGAGAGCAGAGATAACGCTGTCTTCTTCAATATATAATACGTATACGATTATTTTTTTTTTGTTATTTTGTGGAATATTTATGATTGGATTTTAAAGTTTGTGAAGTTCGTCATACTACCATTTTGTAAGTGTTTCATACAATAAAGTTACTTCAATTTGCATAAATAAAAGCTGCATTTCCTTATTCATTCTGAACGTTTGGAATAAACTTTTTTGTTTACTTCTTCTTTGGAACGTTTCTGATGATATGTTAACGTATATTTCAAACGCATTCTGTTTATTCCATTCTGGGATTAACCGGGATGTATAAAGAAATGCAGCCAAAGCAGGGCAAGTTTACTTTGCGTAACGTAAACGAGCTATAAAATGACTTTTAAATTAATTGTTTTCAGACATGGCAGCATTGCGAATTATTTACAAACGTCAAATAAAGCAAAAATGTCATATTTAGAAAAATTGAAAGAATGTGAAAATGCCTGGGGGCGATTGTGAAAAATTATGCTTTTAGAATAAGAATATTTAATTTAATACAAAATAAAAATACACACTGAAAAATGTTATTGTAATACGAAATAAAGCAACTTTATACTTCTAGTTTGAAGGTAAGTACTTGATGATTTTATGTTTTCGAAGTCGAGTTGAATTTGCTAAAAATACTTCTAGTTGACACCATATTGAGACAAACGATTAATATGAAATATTTTGTATTTTATTTAGCACTAAAAAGAGTGGGTTATCGTCATCACTCGGAATGGATAGTTTATTAATGTGGGACCTTTAGTTTGAGTTGCGTTATTCTGATTGTTCACTAAATTGATCGAAAAAATATATATATACATACGTACCGCGCACTATGGAACTAGAGGTCGGCACTTGGGACTCGGTTTTACTGGAAAATCTTTCGGAAGACAGCTTTATAAATAACATACACCTTCGCTACAAACGGGACAGCATATACGTAAGTAAAACTATCTCAGATTTCTCAGAACTCGAAACTTATGTTTCTACGCTTAGACATACATTGGGACTTCCGTTGTCGCGGTAAATCCTTATCACCACATATCAGAACGAACTTCGGATACTATTCGAAATTATGGCAGTAAAGGAATCTTTCAGTTACCACCACATATGTAAGTTAATGTAAACATATGTATACAAAATTGGAAACATCGGTATTTATTTAATATTTTGCTATAGTTATGGTTTAGCTAATTTGGCATTTCAGTCACTTAAAGATCAAGGCGAAGATCAGTGCATTGTACTGACAGGTTGGATTAATTTTTTTTCTAATGAAACAAATACGTAATATTATTTCATTTTTTGAAAAGGTGAAAGCGGCGCTGGCAAAACGGAGTCTTTCAAAATGATTGTTAACTTTCTTACGCATATTCAAGATAAAATAACTCTAGTACAACAAATTAAAAAAGAAGTTTCGAACAGCACCGCTAGCACCAGTTGTTACACCGGTTACGCGCCTTTGCATCGACGTACGTCTAGCAATTGTTCTGCCACAAATGTTCCATTATCCAAAAAATCTGATAGCGTCATGACAATAACAAACACCTCTCGCCGGCAATCGTTGTCTCCCGGGCTTGGGCCACGTCGTTGCAGCACAGCAAATATATCCGCACAACGCATTCGGGCTGAAAGTTCTGACCGTAGTCAGACACGGCGGAATATGCGAGAGAAAATAGTCGATTTCGATTTCTCTCATCATAAAAGCACTGAAAATATTTCATATATTGATAGCAAAGGAACATTTCGCAATATTGATAAACATCCGTCAAAATCTTGCTTTAAACACCAGCCGACACAAACGGCCCCAATGGTCACTGCCGCGCTTATGAATACAAATTTCGCAACATCTTCTAAACACCTGCATAACGCCCACCAAGCAGGTATTTATACTAGCGGCGGTTGTCGACAATGTGGCCATAGTAAATGCACACGTGCTTTAGCATTGGAAATTGATTCCCGAAATTTGCCTTTTAAAAATACCAGTACACAAAATTTTTCAGCGGGACCATCAAGAGCAATGCACCGAGGTAGTTTCTGCAATTTATTGCGTCAACATTCCACAGAAAGTCAAACCGACCGTTCATCATTGATTGGCTCGACACAACGTATATCTCTATATGAAGCACACAAACAGAATCAAATGTTTGCCGCTTCTATTTTTAATCCAAGTAATGCGTCGACCTGTGCACAAACTTCTTCATCACTTTCACTCTCAGGGACAATGAATGTGCCTAACACAAGGTCACGTCGAAAGTCGCCCAGTCAAAGGCTGCGAGAATGTGTCACCTGTGCGGATGTCTTTCTCGAGGCTATGGGAAATGCGGTGACTTTGAAAAACAGCAACTCTAGTCGTTATGTAAATACCACAAATTGTATTCCATATAATTCGTTTAAATTTGTCATACGTATGTATGTATATTTTAAATATCAACCTATCTCTTGCACAGGGTAAACTATTTGATATAGAAATCGATTTCAAAGGTGATCCCATGGGCGTACATATAACACATTGTAAGTATAATGAAATTTCAAATATATATATTATTGGCCCTATTATGTATGGCGACTGGTTTCTAGTTGCTGGTCTAGTAGCCGTGGCTACCAGTATCGTACTTATGCAAAGCGATTAATCTCGGTATACAGAATGTTGGTACATATATGGTCGCCCATCGGCTATCAGTCTTCATACAAAAAAAGGTCATATGTATATACATATGAACATGCATGTAAAATTGTGTCACGTTAATACGAAATATAATTAATAATATTAATATATAATTATATTTAACAACATAACTCGTTTCATGTCTGCCAATATTGTAAATTAGATATGTTGGAGAAGGTAAATTGTGAAAGAAATAGAGCGATAAACTTTAATATCAATATTAATTTCAGACTCGCATTACAAATACTAGTGCCGGGGAGCGAAATTTTCATATATTCTATCAGTTGCTTCTGGGAGCTGACTTGCCTTTGTTAAGTGCGTAAACTTTTGGCAGATAAAACAAATGTGTTTCGAATAATATTATACTCGTTATTTTATTTTTGAAGAATCCTTGAAGCTGTATCGGAATGTGGAAAAATATGATATATTGAGAAACACAACTGCCATTGAAGAAGATCGCGAAAATTTTCATTATACAAAGGTGTGTAAAGACTCGCATTTACATACAAACAGTAAACATATGTGTATATAATATTATAATTTTACACTAAACATACTTATTGACGCATTAGAAATCGCTTGAGATACTTGGTTTGACGTGTGATGAAATCACCTCCATTCTTCGTGTGATTGCAATCGTATTAAAGTTAGGAAACTTTATTTTTGTTCCGATAACAAATATTGATGGGACCGAAGGCTGTCAAATATCGAATGTTTACGGTACGCTCCTATCTAAAATTTGTATAACTAAAGTAAAAATAAAAAGCCTAATTTTACATGCAGAAGTTCAAGAGGCTGCGCACTTACTAAATTTAGAAGCTCAAATCTTAATAAATTGCCTTACTAGAGCCAATTGCTCAAATAACACTCTGGAAGATGTCGGTGAGTATTATTTAATCCTCTAGTTTCTTTTAAAACATTTTTATTGCATACTTTTATATAATCTATTCAATTAAAGGCTGCGAATTGGACGCTCGCCAAGCGGCCAATGCACGTAATACCCTTTGTCGCACACTATATGGACGGCTGTTTACTTGGTTGGTGAACAAAATCAACGAAACTTTAAAGTCTACACAGCGCGAAAAAAATTTAGCTTTACTAGACTTTTACGGTTTCGAATTGCTTGATAATAATTCATTTGAGCAATTCGCAATAAATTACAGTGCCGAAAAAATACACCAGGTGTGTTTATAATGGGCGCGTTTTTTTCACGCAACGTCTTAACGTTTAAAACAACAACCATCGACAATTTCCATCTAAAAGCAAGTTATTTTGATTTTATCGACAACTATTCATAAGGGCCATACAAATTTTAAGCGCCGAGACGTATGTATGCGTGTAAAAAAACACGCCTAATGTTGTAAATCTAATTTCCTTTGGAAGTAAAATATTTAATTGGTAATATAACTCTTTACGTATTTATATTTGATTTAAATCTTATTTTCAGAATTTCGTTCACAATGTCCTTAGGCTTGAGCAGGAGCTTTACATCCGCGAAGGACTGGAATGGACACGAGTAGACTTTTTTGACAATGAGTCAATTTGCGAACTTATCGACAAGCCTTGCTACGGTATTTTGAGTATTATTAATGAGCCGCATCTTAACAGCAATGAAGCGCTTTTGTTACGAATTCAGCAATGTTGCGCAGGACATCCGAATTTCATGACTGGCTGTCAGAATTCAATGTGTTTTAAGTAAGATACTTAACAAACTTGTAAAGGCACAGATTATTATAAATATCTGTTTATACATATATATTAAATTTTAGAATCCGCCACTTTGCCAATGTGGTGAGTTATTCAATACACCGATTTCTGGAAAAGAACTCTGACGTTTTGCCAAAGTTTGTTAGTGGAGCCCTGTACCAAAGTAAATTGCCTCTAGTTCAAAGCCTATTTCCTGAAGGTAATTCTTTTAAAAATTTAAATTAAAATTGCACTCAAAATCAAATACTATGCACTTTTTTATATTTTTTACTTGTTGTTTATTCCAATACCTAGATATTGTCAAAGCAGGCGGAAAATTGTCCTCTCTTTGCCTAATTAGTTTCCACGTTTAGGGCCGTTTTTTCAAGTTGCTTTTAAAATATATCTACCCTTAAGCACAAATTTAATTCTCAAATGCTATTTAAAAAAACGGCCCTTATCTAATGTACATATAAAAATATATATGAAATGAGAATATAGTCAACAATTTTTATAGCAATTGTTTGATAAACTCGAATGGCCCTAAATATTTTCTCATAAAATATTCTTAAAGTTTAATGTCGCCTCCGAACGGCAAATACATTTTTATGAGAAAAAAATGTTAATGTCAGAAATGCCCAGGGAGGTTTGCCATTGCCATATAGCGGTTATTCCTTACAAACATAGTTACAAATATATCTCGATAAATATTTACTAAGGCATGCATGTAGACATCTGCGCGTGCTAACTTATTCCATTTATTATTGTTTTTTAAGGCAATCCCCGTCGTCAAACATCTCGCAAGCCAACTACGCTTAGCTCCAACGTTCGTACTCAACTGCATACATTATTGTCCATCATTAAGAATCGCCGTTCGCACTACGTTTTCTGTATAAAACCGAATGAGTGTAAGCAGTCTCATACGTTCGATCTAGCTTTGGTCCAGCATCAGGTGCGCTATATGTCTTTGATGCCGTTGGTGCATCTCTGTCGTACAGGACATTGCTTCCATCTACCGCATGCAAAATTTTTTAACCGCTACAAGTTATTAAATAGTTCAACGTGGCCACACTACCGTAGCAGTGGGAGTAATGACAGTGGTCCTGGTGTCAGCATTGTGGAGGGTATTGCGCTCATCATACGTAGCTTACCATTACCAGCTGCTGAATTTACGATCGGGACGAAAAATGTATTTGTACGCAGTCCGCGCACTGAATATGAATTGGAGCAATTTCGAAGGGAGCGTATCAATGAATTAGCCATTTTAATACAGACTATATTTCGAATGTATGTGGCACGGAAACATTTTCTTCGAATGCGACATAGTCAGATTGTTATTGCAAGCGCTTGGCGCACGTGGCGGGTGAGTAAATCTTATGTTATCAGCACAAGATCTTTGTAGTAGTTAGTTTTGTGTGTACATATAGTAGTTTACATTAAAATAATCTACTACGTTTATTTTAAAATAATCTACTATTTAGCCCTTCTAATATGTATGTAGATCACTAATTTTTTGTTATCCTCCTACTCCATTTTACATAATTAATTAAAATATTTTGCAAATTACTTAGTGCGCTTTAAATGACTACTATTCTATTCTGTGCTATCTTACTTAGCATAACTTTACGTATTAATTAATTATGAAAAATTTGAATAAGCTTGAGGCCCAGTAATTATATAAAACTCAAATGTTTATTCTGTTAATTTTTGTTTTTAATAACAATATTGCTGGGATCAATAACTAAAAACAGAATATTGACATATTTACATATATAAATACATATGTGTTAACTGTTCGTTGTTCGCTTCTGGTTGTTTCTAATGCATGCGCTGTTTAATTATTAAGGAGTGTCGCTTTAGCATTCCTTTTAAAGGCCGAAAGCATCTTTGGAGTCTCTACCGAAGTGTAAGCATACCAATAGCAATAATTAATGTACTAATATATTTTCATGTACCTTGTACACATGTTATATTGGCCTTTTACAAAATCTATTGTAAATCTTTCATTCATTTCAGGCACGTAAGGAGTATACGGTTATGAAGTATAAGCGCCAAGTTAGTTGGGCTGTCGAAGTTATATCGAGATATTATCACCACTGGAAAATTCGACAATATTTACTTACCATACCAATGCGCTTGCCGCCAAATACGTTAAGCCCGCTTTCTACAGATTGGCCGACAGCGCCCAAATTTTTAGCTGAGACATCTCGGTTACTTCGAGCTATTTACCACCGTTGGAAATGCTATATATATCGCAACTCTTTCGATCAGACTTCGCGTAATCGTATGCGTGAAAAAGTTACTGCCAGTATTATCTTTAAGGATCGCAAAGCGTCATATTCTCGCAGGTCGGTTTACAAAACATACCTTAAAGATTTTTGATTCGGTTTTGCTGTGAGCACAGTTTACTAAATAATGTATGAATTCTCTCTCTTGTAGCGTGGGTCACCCGTTCGTGGGAGATTATGTGCGGTTGCGGCATAACCAGCAATGGAAAAAAATTTGTGTAGAGACCAACGATCAGTATGTGGTGTTTGCGGACATTATTAACAAAATTACACGTTCCAGCGGGAAGGTATTGTATATCTAGCTAAATAATATAGAAATTAAAATCGTTAAGTAAAGACTTATTTTTTAAATTATAAGTTTCATATAGTCTAAATGATGCCGATGCATCTCATTTGCTGTGGTTTCAGTGATTCCCAACTATTGATATGAAAATATAAATGCACACATGAAGGTTTGGAATTTTCACCTGTGGCGTTTTTTCTCTATTAATTTTACTCAAGATTATAACGCGAATTTGTCTACAATGGATCAAAAGAGCTCCTTTAATCGATATTATGAATTATTCGCTGTTGACAGCTTCGATTACAAAACGGTTATAAAAATGCTTGCTTTTATACTATGTCCCTGACAAATATACATACAATATGTATATTATAGGAACTATTAACTTAAAATATATGTAATATAGAGGATTTTTATGAAAAGAATTTTCAAGACTTTTTTATTTTTTTCTAACAGTCTAACTAATTAAACTTACTGCTATGCATTTTTTTTGTAACTATAGTTTGTACCAATACTGTTGGTGTTGTCAACTTCGTCGCTGCTGTTGCTGGATCAGCGCACACTACAAATCAAATACCGGGTGCCTGCAGCGGAAATTTATCGCATGTCTCTAAGCCCATACTTAGATGATGTAGCAGTATTTCATGTTAAAGCGGTAGATATTCACGTAAATATATGCATATTTCGACTCAGTTTATAATTTATTTCTCTCTAATTTCTTAATTTCAGTCTGAGTTTGGACGAAAAAAAGGCGATTTTGTATTTCAAACGGGACATGTAATCGAAATTGTTACCAAAATGTTTCTTGTTATACAAAATGCCACGGGGAAGCCACCGGAAATACACATTAGTACCGAGTATGTTGCTATTGCGAAATCATAACTATTACCATTACTAAATACAAAAACAAAATCTCACTTTAGATTTGAAGCGAATTTTGGCCAACAGACAATTATATTCTCATTTAAATATGGTGGCATGTCTGATCTGGTTCAATCTCAACCAAAAGTTACACGCAAAGCGAATCGCATGGAGATTACTGTGTAATCAAATGTATTGGATTAGCTTAAGTGAATGTTGTCAAAGTTTCACAAAGTGATTGGAAACTGTGGTAGAATAGATGGCCGAAGTGTTTCAACAAGATGTTATTATTATAGACTCCTCTTTGATCGCTGACAATCAGCTAAAACAAAACAAAATTAAAATAGAAAATCGTTATAAATGAAAGTATGTATGTAGATGTTTTAAATTGAGCATTTTAAATGTTCTTATTTCTTGCAAAATTATTAAAGAAAAGTAAAAATTTTCATACATTCATGAACTTTAATTCATATATTTATACATTTGAAAATGATTATATTATGTGTGCATGTGGATATTAAATCAATTAATTTTAAATTATTTTCATTGTGTTTGTTACATATTTCCTTCTCACAGCAGCATTTGGTTTAATTCTATGTATTAATAATTTTTACTGCCTCCGGAATATTACGAGATTTTTCTTTATTTGTGATCATCAGGTATCCCAATCGGTAATAAAATGGAATGACTATATTGTGGTGTCAATTATTTAAATTAACTTCAAACCCTGGTAGCATAAAGCCATTGCGCTCTAGTAAGATTCTATTTTAAAAGTTTTTACGCATATTTTAATTGTCTAATGGCTGATTTTCAATAAAATTTTATCCAAAATGATACTCTTTTAGGTAGGATTTAAGAGTTTAGAGAGTTCTCTGGAAAAAATAATCTGATACCGGAATTATACTTAACTTCATTTATACCACTTTTTCATCTAAACAATTGTGTTATGGTTTAAACCCTATAAGCAATCGAACTCATTTTAGAGTCAGACAAGTCTGAGAATTCTGAGTTGTAACTTTCATTATGAACTCAAAAAAGAGTGAGAAAAGAACATATCGCTAGCTTAGAGTGAAAAGTTGCTAAGTCCACTTTTTATGAAAACTCATATTTTGATATAGGAGGCTAGAGAAATTGAATAGGCATCGTTTCGAAAATTATAAAGGTACTTGTTTTATTTTTTCCTCTTCATAAGAAATAAAAGGAAAATTTGCTAAGTCCAAAAGAAGCACCACAAATCCTATAAGGCCAAAATAAGACGACATCTTTTAATAAATATCGAATCCTTCTGATTCTTATGGAGTTTTGCTTTGCTTTAAACGCGCAAAATGTTTGATTCAAAGTCTTGAGAAATAGTTAAAGAAAATGGCTATAGGAAGATTTTTTCCTCTCCTGTAAAATTTTTAAAATGGGACTTAGCAACTTTTCTTTCTAAGCTAGCGATATTTCCCTTCTTAGAAGGGCACGCCAATATGAGCCCAAATAAAGAGTCATATTAGAGTCTGAAATATCACGCTTTCTGAGTCTTAAAAATAAATATTCTTTATAATTCTGATTATTTATAAACTTTTAATTCTATGTGAACTTAGTTACTTTTGTTCAACTCAGAATCTGTGACACCAAAAGAGTCCGAAACGTGATAAAAACATAACAATGTAAACCCATATTAAAAACATTACAAGGTAAATTCATTCTCTCAATTCGTCCGCCATGATTTTTTTCTGACGTTTGCAAGCATTTTAATTCTTAATACTCCCGGGGAGTTTTTTCGCAGGGAGGAGGAAATTTGAATTTTCAAAAAAAGCTGTTTGACCCTTTTTGACAGTTCAACTCCACCCTTTAATATAAAAAATCGTCGGAGGATTTTTATTCATGATAGGAGGAAAGGGAAAAGAGAGAAAACTCCCAGGGCGTTTCTGTTCAGAATCGACCTGATAAAATTGAAAATAAAAAAAAGAAATTGTTCACAATTATTGTTGTTTGCTATTAAAAATGAGAATGTGTGTGTGAGTTTGAATTTTGAACTTTGAACTTTTATATTTAGCCTTATCATGAGATTCATTTTTAACGAAACGGTTCACTTTTCACTTTTGGTTTCCATGGTTTTACTATGAGCGGATAACAAATTTTGGGGTGAACTTTTTTTCAGGCGAAACTCAGGGTAATACAGATTATTTTAGCTGGCAAACGTCAGGCTGCCTCTCAATGGTTTTGCCTTGCTATATTTGTATAATGGGTAAAAAATCATGGCCGACGAATTGAGAGAATGTATTTACCTTGTCATGTTTTTATCTTGGTCCGAAATGAGTCAGTCTGGTTGACTGGTCTCAGAATCATATTTTTGACGAAACAAGGACTCATTTTAGACTCATCAATTCTGAGCACTCGCAAATTGTTTTAAGGGAACTATGTTCCATTTGGCAAAAAAAAAACAAGTATTGTAATATTCAAATGCGAAAAAATAATAAAGCTAGTCTTACAACACACAATAAAAAGATAACGAAGGCGAAGAGGGAAATCTTTAGAAGCTTCTGGGGAAACTTAACATTTACTACTGTAGCGACGAAACTTCATGAAGCCCTAACAAAGGAAATGGTGGACACTCAACCAGAAATTAAGCTACCAGACGGTATATACACAGATAGCGGTAGAAAGGACATGTTTCCTAATATCCACGCGGACTATAAAGATGGCAACACGAAAGTTTAAACCTACTACATTAGACTGGAGCCTTGCAAGAAGTATCTTCTCACGAGCCAGAGTCAAATGCGCCTTGGACGAGATTTAGCTGGTACTATTACAACGGGGATGTTGGATGATCCGACATAGTTCCACCAAAAAAAAACCTTTTCTACTTTATTTTTCCCGAAATAATATTTACTTGAAAATGCAATATTTTGAAATTATTTTCATAGTCTTAAATTTTTATTTAATCTAACTATTAAGGTATTTACATAGTTGCGACTCCTGAACAACAGCTTGATGAAAAATGTATGGGTACACACCTGAGTCACGTGATTGTTATAAATGTAATGGTTTTATCAGATGAAATAAACAAAAGGTGTTAATATATGTAAACTTAAAGAGTCAATAATATATGTATGTACACAGAAATACCTTTATATGCACATCTTTATATGTACATATGTACATCTATGTAGATATGTACATAGGTACATATATGTAGATATGTACATAGGTACATATATGTAGATATATACATAGGTACATATATAAATAGAAATGTATGATAGTGCGCATTTTGTGAATACGTGCATACGTTTGTAGTTCATTAAGGAGAAAACAGTTTTGAAACGAATTTTTCGAAATATTCAGCTGAACTTTCAATAATCCTCAGAAAATTTACTTTGAAAACCTGTCTACCTGTGTCTTAATAAACCAACACCTTGGGCAGCATGTAATCCCTGTTCTTCCAAATTGTCAAAATATTGTTTAAACCTAAAAATAAAACGAAAAAACAATCCCTCATTCACAGAATTGTATCCATATTTAATAAAAGTTGATAATGTTGTCTTACTTTGCCATTTTTTCTTGTGAAAATAAATAATAATTTAAATCAGCATTTAATCATTATTTTATGATTTGTATTTTTTCGCTTAAAAATAAGAATTATTGAGGCATTTTCTGGTTTTCGTACGAATCGAAAATTTGAATTTTTTGTATAGAAAATGATATACGCCCCAATATTGGGTTTTCTTTTTTCGATCAAAAATAATGATTATTTTATGGCTTTTATTTTTTCGCTGACATAATATGTAATTATTATTAAGTTTTATTTTTCCACTTAAAAATAATGATCATTTATAAAATTAAAAATGCCATACAGACGCAACCAACGGAAATTTTGACCTGAAGATTTTTGAGCTTATTCCTTTTATTGGAGTGTCGCTTCTTCTTAAAGGGATACGTCGGAAATTACGCTGATATAGTTTTGGAGTTTTTCGAATAATCATTATTCTTAAAGGAAAAAAAAAATCATTATTGTTGATCAAAAAAGTAATACAAATAGAATTTCCTTTGAGCCAAAAAATAAAATTCAAATATTTAATAATATATTTAATCTTTATTGAGTAAACTCGAAATATAAAAATCATTTGTGGTAAGTGTTGTATGTCGTCAGCTTTAAAACCCTAAAAAATATATTACGGGGGTTCGCAAAGTACCATCAAGGTCATATTATGAATTTTCGCAGTGTTAAAAAATAGTTGTTTTTGGTTTCAGGTTCTCTAAACATTTATTTAAGCTTTTAAAGTTTACGACATACAACAATACGACAATTACTACACCGTTGTGAATCCCTCAATTGTAAATTACAGTAAGACGTACGAATACAAATACGTGGCTATAGTTAAAATTGTCTCCGATGATTTTTTCGGTTAAAACTAAAAAAATAATGATTATTTTCCGTCCCAGGTTATTAGCCGCAAATCTCATCATGTGCGAGTCGTCCGCGCATTGTACGAAATTTGAGTACAGAGCTGGGAAATAATTGAAGAGATGTGCACAGCATATGGGGAGTCTGGACGTTCATTTGCCACCATCAAACTTGAAACCGAGAGTTCAAGCATGGCAGGTAGTCGCTGGAAGAAGATCCCTGGTCAGGGCGTCCAAACACTGCCTCCGCCGCGGTTTGTTGGGATTGCGAAAAAAAACTACAATAAATGGAGACTATTTTATGCCACATTATGACAAAAGTGCGTAAAGTGCTGTCAGTAAACGGAAAGGCCAAAGGAATTTTTAAATATGTATAAATTTTTATACACGAGTGCACTTGTCTATTATAATTTTGTTCACATAACGGTTGTTTGTAACAGCCAAAACGAATCGAGATAGATATAAAGAAGTGTACGCATATATGATCAAGAACGAAAAAAGAAATCGATTAAGCGGCGACTGTATGTCCGTCCGTCTGTCCGTCTGTGCACACGATAGCTCGAGTAAAAATTTAGATATCTTAACGAAACTTGGTACGTGTACTTATTTTAGGAGTAGGACAGATGGTATTGAAGATGGGCAAAATCGGACAATAACCATCCCACTTCCCATATAACGGTAGTTTTCCGAAATTCGAAAACTGCGATATTTTAGTAACTACTGAAGCTTATTCACTCAAAATTGATATTTGCAATGATTTTTAGACGAAAAACAAGAACATTATTTCTGGAAAAGGGGCATACTTAGCCACGTCCACTTATGATTACATGTATATATCTTCGTAGCCGCTACACTAATTCCTTCCAAATTTGGCACAGTTGTTGGCCTTGGTAAAGCATACCAAACGGTTGAAAATTTTTACAATTTGGACAATAACCACGCCCACATCCCAAATAACTGCAATTTTAAGGAACGAACGAAATCTTCGTTAAATCAGTAAATACTGAAGCTGATTTATTAAAAATTGATGTTTGCAACAATTCTTTAGCTAAAAGTACGCTTATGATAAAATTTCGAAAAAATGGGCGTGGCACCGCCCACTTATGACCACATATGTGTATCTCGGCGACCGTTCGATAAATTTGTACCAAACTCGGTATGTATATTGTGCTTACTGCACACAAGCAAAATGTTGAAAATTATTGAAATCGGTTTAAAATTACGCCCACTTTATATAGAACGGTAAATTTCAGAAATGCTTAAGACTCCGATATTTCGATATTTAAAGTCGCTTGTATCGAAGATGTTTGAAATAGGGGTAAAACCACCCCTGCTTACCATGTGGCGGTAGTTTTCGGAAAGGCGAAAAAACCATATTTAATACTTGTGCCGGGTATTAAATGCTCTTTGAAATTTTAAAGTCCTTTTAATAAAAAATCTGACGTAAGAGAAGAAAACTAAGAACGCAGTTTTTCTGTATTTGACCCATAGTTTTGCGAATATATTAATTTTTTTTTTGTATTCAAAATTGACTTTCGCACGGTGTTCAGTATATCCAGCAGGATTTTGGTATTCAACAGATGCGTCGTTGTTAATAATTCCCAGAGGTAAAGCACAGATATTGTTAAACCGCATTTTGCAGTATAACTCGTGGTCCATTACAACAGAACTGCAGCAAAGACATTACTGCCGGTAGCAATTATTTTCAAATAATCGGAGTGTATTTAACGGCTTCTTCGTGACGGGATTTCCAACGCTCTTTGAAATGAAAAGTTAGCCTTGTAAAGTGTAAACTATATGGAATTTAAAAGGCTTTATTTTATATTTGGTAAAAATTGTATAAACAATAGAACTTAAGCCCACAATCTTTCGGTAATAGATAATTAATATTGTAATCCACTACAAAATATATGTATGTTTTTATAGATACATATCGTCACCTGAAATGCAAAAAGACGTAACATAAATTTTCGCTGAAATACAATAAGTCGTAACTTATAAAATTCAAAATTCACTTTTTCTTTAGATATAATGAAAAAAAATTATTAGTCACGACTTTTTCCATTTCAGTGACAATGTTTGTTACGCCTTTTTGTATTTTTGGTGTCGGATATGTACATATGTATGTAAATATATCGCTCACTTACTTCAATAGTGTCATTATGCCAAATTTATAAATTTTGAGTTCGAGTATGCAGAAATTACAGCTACCTCTTCTTCTATGTTGTGTAAACATTTCATAGCTGTATCGATTACTAGTATCTCACTTGAACAAAATATGTATTCATTTTTACTATGGGAGTATATTGAGGGCTTATTTCAATACGATCTATCTACAGTTTTCACAAAAATTAGATTCCTATATAAAAATGCAACTTAAAGCATAAACTGACGGCAGCATCGATCCGGATCAACTCGTTAATTCGGAATTGCCTCGGGAATTAACTGCATTTGATCCGGATTAAGTCCTAGATTTAATTACGAAAACTTAACTAGGATCAAGAGAATATTCCATGACAACACTGACCGAAACTTAGAGAGCGTAGAACACAGAGAAAGAGCAAAGCAAGCATGGGCACATACCTTTTTATCGTTAATGCAGTTACCATACTAATTCAAATAGGAATCCAATTGAAATTGAATAAGAACTTATTTGAATTAATGCGGTGACTGCATTTCCGACGACAAGGTGGATGTCAATGCTAGTGTTAAATTTTCTTCGTGTTCTACGCTCTCTGAGTAAACAAATACGCAAACACAGCAGTTAATTACTTCATCCGCGGTAGTAGAGTGATGAGGGCTGCGTACTACAAGCCTGCAGGTCCCAGGTTCGATCCCCAAAAAATTCCAAAAAAAAAAAATTAGTTTTTATTGTTACTTAAATTTTTTAGTTTTATTTGATTAATATATTTAATTTAACTTTATTTTATTTTCGTTTATTTTATTTTATTTCACATTTTTTATTTTATTTTAGTTAATTTAAAATTTTAGAGTTTAATTTTACTAAAAATGTCAAAGACAACTAACACTAAAAACACGCGTCGATAATCCGGATCAACGTTGCCGTCTCTCTATGCTTTTTGACTTAACTGTCTTCGATGATGTTAATGCTGATCTTGTATATCGCTTGTCAGAAAAATTAACTAATTTCAAAATTTAAACTAGGTTCATTCCTTTTCTTTTTGGACTAAAATCTGAAAAGTGTCAAAATGCCAGAGCGTAAGCTAAATGCGCTCACTAAAAGAGAATAACAGGAAAAAGTAAAGGAACGCAAAAAACCAAATTTTTAGTCCAAACAATGGCAACAACAAAACTAACATCAAAAAAGAATATAAATTTACCTATGTACAAAACACATTCACACAAGCACAAGCACGATAAACACCATGAACGAAAGACACAAGATCACGCGGTAAGGAAAAAACGAAAAAAGTTATTTTCTAGCTGCCGAAATCTCGACGCCATCTTTGTTGTAAGAAGTAAACAATGAAGAGAACGGAGAAAACCGCGAAATTGTTGAACGCATGAAAAATCATTTTTATTATGCAAATTCTTCTATAAATCATGCCGTTGTGTTAAATTATTCTTTATCTTATGTGTACACACGTTGTCACAAGTGAAAATGAAGAAAATTGCAGTAAAAAGCCACCACCAAATTGTAAACAACGAAGAAATGTAAATAAACGGCTAATGTCAAAGTCGCTCAACTTTTTTCATAAATGCGATTATAACGGGCTAGTCTCCAGCCCGCGTAATCTTGTCTTTTTGGTTCATGGATAAACACTTCGATGGCGGAGTGGAAGATCGACCTACCTCGGCAGCCTGTTCGAAAACGCTCTACCTCAAACAATTTTTCAAGAACGTCCTATTTCAGAACTCGTTTCAAAAACTCCCTATCTCAGCTGTCGATTCAAAAACGCCCTATATCAGCATATTTTCAATACATTTCGAAGTGAGATAGGGCGTTTTTGAACCGAATTTTGAGATAGGGTGTTTTTCAATTAAATTCTGAAGTAGGGCGTTCTTGAAAAGTTTTTTGAGATAGAGCGTTTTCGAACTGGCTGCCGAGATAGGTCGATCTTCCACTCCGCCATCGACTTACTATATCAATTATTTTTTGCCTCCTTCCAATTTCAATGGTATGTTTTTTGGAAGCAGGAGGAGAATGGAAAGAATTTAATCACCTTTCAAAAAGTAACGAAGTTCCACAAAGAGTTGTTCATAACAGATAGTATTTACTTTAATTATTTAATTAAACCAGCTTATTTACTTTACGAATATAACCTCTGATTGTTATTAAAAATAAATATTTGTATGTACAACCAAAGTTGGGTACGTCAGACCGCGTATAACTTGAGAATGGATGGTCCAGGTCCACTGTGAGCTATTTTTCTATTGTTTTTTTTAAGGATATGAAGAAAATATTTGTTTGTGGAAAAAATATATAATTTTGATAAAAAGACGCCAAATCAAAACATTTGGCGCTTACTTATCTTTCGCGGTTATTGATCGATTGCTTCTTGTTAGCGAATGAAGAACAAACCTTTCTTCAAATTTAAAGAGTAAAAATTTCACTACTAAAAATTTTCTTAAAACTTGCAAAGAAATTTGGAAAAGGTATATCACTGTTTTGGTTTTTAGAAATATGGTGCGAGTGTCATTGATAAAATTAGAGTGAGCGAGAGTTTTTCTTTCAAAAACACGACACTAAAATTAATTATTAATTAATTATTAACGTTTTTAACATGGTTATGACACTATTAAAGTAAATCGCTCATAAATGTTAACTTTCTAAAATCTTGTCATACTGACGATGGAATTTGCGGAATCTTTATACATTGCTAATTTATAGTTTTGATAGCCGCTTCTTCAAAATATCTCTTAACACTCGGCGCAATATTTTGCCACTGGGGTTTTTCGGAATATCATCCACAAAAATTACACCACCACGTAAACGTTTCGCTGGTGACGCACGATCTGCTACAAATGTTATCACTTCATCTTCACTTAGTTCCACATTAGGCTGTTTTACAACAAATGCCATTGCTAATTCGCCAGCTTCTTCATCTGGTTTTCCAATAACAGCCGCATCCTTAATTTTCGGATGTGCCAAGAGCACAGCCTCAATTTCAGCTGGAGGTACTTGGAAGCCTTTGTACTTAATTAACTCCTTAATTCGATCCACAATGAAAAATTCAAAATCATCATCGAAATAACCGATGTCACCCGTATGCAGCCAACCATCTTTTATCACTGACTGCGTAGACTTTGGATCACCAATATAGCCCTTCATAATGCAACCGCCCTTAAAGCACAATTCCCCACGTTGATTAGGACCAAGTGTTCTTCCTGTTTCCGGATCGATAACTTTGGCATAAAGGCCCGTTTTAAGACCACCCACACTGCCCGGCTTGCAGGCAATATCGTTTTGAACCAACAAACTTAGAGTCGACTCGCTCAGTCCATATCCCTGTCGAATAACGGGTATGCCAATGCTAGGGAGGATAAAAAAAAATTATTATGTATATACATACATATGTACTCGCTATGGTCCCTCTAGGAAAGAGAAACATTCCGCAATGTATGCTTTACAGTTTCCAAATAAGCATGGAAACATTCCCTTTTGTTGGACAGTTAATTTCGTTTTTAACATCCGATGTCCTTAGTGGGAAACTTTACTCCTCGTTGTTCATGGACTGCAGGGGTAAACTTTCTCCACATGTCCATGGAATGTATGGGGAAACTTTTTTCCAAAAATAATCTTCAGTGAACTTCCTCAAGCTTTGCTTAAGAAGGGGAGTCGAAACAATGTTTTCACATCGTTTACATAAGCAACGAAGAGAAATGTTTCTAAATTAATGCCAAATGGAAACTTTCATATTTTCCTAGAGGGAAATTATACATTTGGAAATTTCAAACAAACCGCTTTTTTATCTGATCCTCAGTTTCCTTGCTAAGTGGTGCCGCGCCACAAACCAAAATCATCAACGATGATAGATCGTATTTATCCACAAGTGGGTGTTTTGCTAAGAAGACCATTAATGGCGGCACCATGAATGCCATCAATATGCGATATTTCTAAACAAAAATTTGTAAAAATATTACTTGTATATGTATGTATTGCCCTGCATTTGGAACACATTATTCACCTCAATTGCTCCGAGAAAAAGATTTTCCTCAAATTTCGGCAGATACACTAGAGTTGCTCTCAAAACCGATGTTGTAATTAGTGTAAGACAACCAAATGCGTGAAACCAAGGAATCACTGTTAGTAATGTGGTCTCGCCCATAGGAATAGCGGTTGACTCACTGCATTTTAATAGCAAACAATTACGAGCAATTATTAAACCCATCTTCTGAAAGACTGTCACAGCTCGAAAAAAATGGTTTTTCAAGAGACGCGTTTAATGTGTTCATTATATAATATATAGCTCAGATAAATTTTTTTTAGAGTTGCGATATTCTTTTACTAAATCTGTGATATGTAATATAGCAAACTATTATGTGTATACTTACAACTGTGCATCAAGTGTGGTAAGAATGTTGTACTGTGTTAGTTGCACGCCTTTTGGGAGTCCAGTAGTACCTGAAGAACATACTATCAACGCAACATCATCCTCTTTGTTTGCGACAGGCGTTTCAAAGTACTCGTCTGATATAATTTCCTTGCTGTTCATAAGGTCATCGAAATTTAAAATTTTATCATCTGAACTACGAGTACCAAATGTAATAACTGTTTTTACGAAGCTGTTCTTTTTTGCCACCTTTGCTATGAGATCTGCCGTTAAATTTGAAACAAATATAACCTTTGGCTTAGATAGATTGATGGCGTGATGTACTTCACCTGCGTTTAAAAAAAAAAAAAATAGTTTTGTATTTATCGGTAAGTATGCACATACATACATATGTATGTCTTTAGAGTGCACATAAATATTCATACGTGGGAACCATAATTTATTAAACTTACGCTCCGTGTAGGTTACGTTTAAGGGCGCCACTGTAGCATTCACCACGAATGAAGCAAATAAGGTAATGGCAAAACGAACGTTATTTTCACTCGATAATCCCACAACATCTCCATTTTTTACGCCCAAATGTTGTAACACATAGGCCATACGAACAATAGAGTCATACATATATTTAGCTGTATACTCCTGCCCAGTAACTGCATCAATTATAACCGTTTGATTACCAAAACTCTTATATTTCTCGAGCACAAAATGGCCTAAAGATTTGTACGAATGTGTTTCAGTGCAGGTAATTGGTCCTCCGTAGACGATATTTCCAGCAAGCAAAGTAGCCATAATGTAAGTCTTCAAATAAAAATATAAAGATATTTTATAGACGTACATACATATATACATACATATTTTTAACCCATAGCTCAATAATTATTATAATCGGGGATGTGCTGCAAATCGTACGATTTGAAATCGATGCGATTTCCAAAGTTTAATTTGGAGAATTCTTAACAAAACGGAAAAAAATTGCTTCTAAATCGAATAATATGACGTCCTTTTGGAGTTTCTATCAGTTTTTATTTGAAATATTTATTACTTGCATTAATTATAAAGAAAATATTTTGCAAATCGCATCGATTTGAAATCGTACGATTTGCAGCACATGCCCGTATTACTTTATTCTCAACGAAAATTTTTCATCCGCCCATAGTAAATACATGGAAACGAAATGTTAAAAGAGATCCGGATGTCGTTGCTAATTAGTTGAGCGGATATATACATACATAGGTATGTATTCACGTATATAAACATATGTACATATATACATATGTATATATACGTTCCACAGAAAGCCGCATGAAAAAATCCGCATAAAAAGCTTACATACAAAAACCGGGGATGCTCCCAGATACTCCATATAAAAAATTACAAAAAACCGCATAAAAAATCAGTGAGGTGATTAAGCAAAAAAAAAATATTTCTTCACTTCAACACTTATTAATCCATGTAAAACTGAACTTAAATAAAATTTTGTCTGTATTTTACTCGAACGCAAAAAAAAAATACCACAATAAATACACGAATTATGTAAGAATACAAAGACAAATTATTTATCAGAAGCATTGTCTCTTACACTGTAAAAAGTAATAAGAAACAAAAAATCAAAACCGCTACAGCGAAAAAATGGTTTGAAACACCGCATAAATTCAAATCCGCATAAGAAGAGACCTAAGTGTATCTAACTTATTTATAGGCCGATTTGGCTGCTGTTTTATGTTTATTGGTTATGTAAGCAGAAACATTTTTGCCAAAAATGACAATGGCGTCTGGGTCGAGATATTTTAAAAACCCGTATTTATGCTCTGGTTCGTTTAAAATTTCGCATGTGTAGTTGAAACGTAGTAAGACATAGGACTTACAAAGAATGGAACATAAACAACCGTGGTACAAAGCTCAATAAAAATATTCAAAATAATAAATGTTAATAAGCCACAATAACATTGAGAAATGCATAGTTTAGGAAGAGCGTGCCTTCAAAACTATACAATAAAGCAAATAAGCAAATGGATATTTAAATAGAACTGACAACAACAACCACGCTGTCGAGTTTAAATAGCGGCAAATCAGCTGCACTTTATAGTAGGTGGTTGAATAAGGAAAATGAATTAGCAACAAGAGTTTACGGGGTGTACATAGCATAAACAATCGTGGTACAAAGCTCAATAAAAATATTAAAAATTTAATGTTATTGTTTTCAAACGCGTAACCCGAATCAATTAATTTTAACTTACGCGTATGGTCAAACGATTAAACGCTAAATAAAGATTTCAAACTTTCGAATACAAATTTATTAATAAATCCGGTTTGAAATATGGACTTATTTGCAAATGATACTGGGGTCAGCGTAGCCGGAATCGGACTGATAAGAGTTATTCTTTCTAAGCACGGCCGAAGACTTACAACGCTGAAAGGTATTTTGCGCGAAAATCCATTCCACATATAACCGAACGTTTGCCCCTTTTGTTTTTTAAAGAAGAAGAAGACTAGTACTCAATAAGTTGATAATTGTAGTTCTCGGCTTGCATACTTACAATAAATAATAAATTTTATTTCACATCAATGTTGAACAGCAAAATATATATATTTTTACCAAAAGAAACAACGATATTATCAAAATATAATTGAAATGGAAAATATTGACTTCTCTGAAAGTCATGAGGCCCATGCGTCCCAAAGTAATTTCCACTTTCAAGTTACTTAAAAGGCATGCAGTTAAATGGACAAAGACAATATGTATTAAACATTACATCGAAATATGTAATTTCAGTGTCTTGAATATATCAGAAACAATCGTATCGGGGAAACTTTCCATTACGGCCGTTCGTTAAAGGTGCGGTGGGCGAAGGGGGAGTGGGCGTGGCACCTCCCACCGACCTTTTTGGAGAGGGCATGAACCGCCATTGGCAAAAATGAAACCCCCGACCACCTAGGCCCCGTATGGTTCCCTACGGACCCCTTAGAAAAATGGCCAAAAATCGCTATTTTTACTTGCATCCTCAGTATTTTTGCGTAGAATTCCTTTATGCGTAGGCGGCTTTCGGCCGCGCTTAGGGATTATAACCCTTACTACGTAGAATTCTCCTTTCTGTGTGACCTAACTGGGGCTACCGCCCCAGTGATGTAACCTTGGGAAAGAATGAGGTAACTAGAATTCACTTTCTGTGTGGTGAACCTGGAACTGCCGCCCCAGTGATGTCTATTTAGGTTACTGGGTGTTTTATAAAAATGTCTTGTAAATGAAAATGTATTGTGCAAATGAATATTTAACATTTTTCAAGCGAATAAACGCAAATGAAAATTGTGATTTTTGGCAATTTTTCTAAGGGGTCCTTAGGGAACCATAGGGGACCTAGGTGGTCGTGGGTTGAATTTTTGTCAATGGCGGTTCATTCCCTCTCCAAAAAGGTGGATTAGAGGTGCCACGCCCACTTACCTTTCGCCCACCGCCCCTTTAACGAACGGCCATAAAGGAAAGCCAACCCATCGTATCACCGTAATAGTCCTGGCTAGTTATATTGTGGTATAATCAGATAACGTAAGGACCTTAAAAAAATTAAAATTTCGTCGGTGATACTGCAAAACGGTATACATATGTCTATATGGGTTTATATGTATGGGGTTTGTCTGAGAATGAACTATATTTTAGTTGAAATTCGTAAAAATAAATAAATAAACATAAGTGGCACACAATATCACTTTGAAATGGCGTGCTATAGATATGACCGATATGTATGTATGTATATAAATGAAATTGGTTAGTAGAGTGATTATCTTGATAACAAGATTTATCTAATCACCAGAGTGCAAATCTAACTTACATATGTATAGAAGCAAGGAGAATTCATGCTTGTTTTAACCGACTTCGCAAAAAATATAAAGGTTATCAATCATCGGAAGATTTATTTACATTAGCATTTACTTACATGCATATTTATGTATGTTAACGGATAACTTTGAAATCGGTAGTGTCTTTTATTTAAAAATTTATTGTTTAAAGTCATACTGCTACAGAAGCTATGCACATAAATATGAATGCAATAAACTTTGGACCAAAACTTTAAAGTGGATCAAAGTTCGGAGAAGGACAAATAACTTATACATATGGATGTACATACGTTCATTATACTCACATGTTTAAATAATTTGTAAAAATTGGGAGAATAAATGCCTTTTATTTAGGTAGGTACTATAGCTGAAGCCAGACGATTTTGTATCCAAAATTCGTATAGTGTAGGAGCTCTATGTATGATTTATTTATGGGAACTTTCGCCTAATAAAACCACTGCCTGCAATAGAACTGATTGAATAAATTTAAAGGCTTCGTAGTTAACTTTTACGCTAGTCATTAGCACGATTCATTAGCAATGCTAAGTATAAACATTGGCAGAGATTGCAGCGATTAATCATATGATTAAGTAAATCGATTATTTCCGTCCAATTTACGATTTACTTGTATCGTAGATTTGTTTCATTAATCGATTAATTGTAAAATAATCGTAAAATTAAAAAAAATGAGTTCTGTAGTTGTCTAAACATTATTTTTGCTAACAACTTTACTCAACCCGAGATTCACAACTATTCATTTCAAAGATCCGTTAGCATTGGCCTCAGTAATGGAGTTGTTGCGAAATTAAATAATGTGCGCAGAGTCGTCACTAGAATCAGCA